TTTGGATCTGACGGTACAGATAGGCTAGTTTGCCTATTTTTCCATATTGTTGTTATTATAATTCATCAAGAGTAGAAACTTTGAACAACACACCTAAGTGAAATTGAACAAAGAATAACCATTTCAAGTGTCAATCATGTGGCCTTTTTTAAGAGGGGTGCAAACTTGATACATTTTTGTCGGAAGGCATGAGTATGTCTGCAGGGTGTTGCAGGATAGAAAGCTCATATTTTTGTCATATTTTACAGAGTAATTCATACATTTTCCTGAATCCCCCTCTAAAAATGTATAAGCTTAGGGGGGCACAGATGGTGAAGGTTTTGCCGGTGGTACCATTTGAATAATTTGACAGGGTTTTTACAGTCTAAAAGGAAAATATTCTACACATTTGTTCTTTAGTCTTTATTTGTCTGGGCATTCGATTTATTGACTGCTTTCAAGATATTAAGAGAATTTCCACATATACAACAAAATGGTACAAAATGTATAACTAAAATACATACTACTAAAGGACTAAAGTACTAAAAATGCATAAAAGGAGGATTGATTGATTGATTGATTGATTGATTGATTGATTGATTGATTGATTGATTGATTGATTGATTGATTGATTGATTGATTGATTGATTGATTGGGGAAGCTCTCCTGAAGAGCTTTATCATTTTTAAATTGAAAGAAATTTGTACAAGAATTTGACAGTGAAATGATTATCCAACCATAGGTGCCACCCCAAAAATCCTAAACTTTGATTGGCTATTTGCCCTGTCAGAGGCAGGACTTGTGTTAAAACTGACTATTAGGGCTTTTATGCATAGGCCTTCGAGTAGATTTCTGTACATGTGAATGTTGCATATTTTCTTGTTTGTACTCTAACTTGTAAATAAACTTTGCACATCTATTTCATAAGCTCTGTGCATAGAAAAGTAATGCACACTATCTTATTGAACTAACTGGCAGTGTTTTAGGAGCACAACATTACAAATGAATAATTTTTTGTAAGTATAAGACATTGTGCAGGAGTTTTTCATGCTATTTTTTATACTTAAAATTGTGTCTTTGAACATACATCACCTTTTTGAGTGAAGTTACAAAGAGTAAATAATTGATATTTATTTGTGTCTTTGAGCACATAACAATTTAGGCTACCCCTGCAGAAGTCAGTGCACCATTTGGGCAACCCCAGTCAATAAGTCTGTACACGCCCTTAATAGCAGATAAATAAAAAATGTGAACTCACATCATAGACACTTGTTGAAATGATTCAGTTGTCCTCCTAATGATGCCTGTTGTTTAAACATTCATTCTCACTGACCCTGTACACAAGTTTATTAGCGACATCAAAATAAGACAGTAAGCCTTTCTAATCTTTTTCTATTAAGTTTTTTTCTTTTATGAACGAATTGCACAATTTGCTCCAACTACATAGCACTGAGGATGTTGCAGGCTACTTGCAAACCTTGTGGGACTTCCAACATAAATTAGTCTGCACTAGAGGAGAAGAGGCAGTAACACTGCTCACCTTAAACACCTCTCTTTTGACATTCCTGCTGAATCAATTAAGTGTTATGTGCTGCGTGAGAACTCAGAAAAAGCCCCTTGTGGTACGCAAGCTGCTTCCTGATGTAATAGAGGGCAACTTTTACCTCAACAGACTGAGAGATTTGAGAGTTGGAGCATATTGTGAAAGTCTAATCCAGCGGACAATGAGGAACACTTGGGTCCCTTTGGATGCCATATGCCTGCTTGATTTCCTGAGCCACGGTACATGTACCCCATGCTGTGCCCTATTATTCAGTCTTAAGAGCAATCCTGAGGTGTTATGGAGTTGGGCTTTCTGAACTGTTTCAAAGAAACAGTATGCCAAAATGTAGCATACAGGCAGAGACTTTTATTCTATCTATTTTAAGCAATAAGACTACATTTTTCTTTGAACCTTGAGAGCTTGCAATTCCAAGTTCACAAAAGGAAGAAGGAATTTAAACATTCAATTTTGGGATAGAGTAACAAAACTTAAAGATAGCAAGACACTCTTTCAAGTTGTGCAGCCTTAGATTTATTTAAAAGAAAATAATTTAAACAACACAACACCAACATCTTAGAAGCAGACTAAAGAAGTGTTTTATTTCATGTTGTTTGTAATCAGTCTTTAAATACATTTTAACTCTTTGTAGGGATAGAAAATGACATTACATTAGTCACAGGTGCATTAAACATAAAAAAAATCAGTTTATACACATCTTTCCCTTTCCCAATAATAAAAGAGTCAACATTTTAAAACAACTTGCAATATACATTTTGATTAAATTCCAACAAGATAATTGTTATTTAGCAGCTTGGTCATGCCCTGCATGTGCATTTGTTAATTTAAGACAACAATTCAGACAAATGTCAGTGATAATAAAAACATTTTGTTCATCATAGAGTGATGAATCCTGGCTGAACTCTACATTATGGTCCATGATTTTGTTTTTCTACCCACAATTCCATCTGTTTATTTCTGCTCATAGAGGCAAGTCTTCATGGCTGGACGCACATAATCTTATTACAGCTTCATGGTAGCCTATAGGTGTATGAGAATAAACGCGAGAGCAGATGATGAATGTAAACTAGCTTTTTTCACAGCTTTTCTCAATGTTGCTACATCTTAATTCTTTCCCAGGGCAATATTGGAATACTCTATCTTATTTATATCAGCACACACACACACATACATGCACACACACACACAATGGCACACACACATCCCAGCAGCAGGAGATAGGCTAAAATCAACAGCAGTTCTTCGGTAATAAGAGAATAATACAACTTGAGACGGTGGAAGGGATTGCAGATTGTGTGTGCAGATAATGCTGTTAGATGCTAGATAACAGGATGTCTCTGACTAAATGTTCTGCTTGGGGCGGGAAAGCCGCTGCATATTCCTCTTGTAGCACCAGATCCTGTCGCAGAGACAGCTGCTCCATCCTCCTCTCTTCCCTCCTCTGCATCTCATTTATCTGATTAGGGTTTCTATATTCCTATGTTAATATGTACACATTTCACACCTGCTATTCTGCACCTGTTTACCAGCAGTCACTAGGGACTCTCCCACCTCTGCTCATCACCTGATCAAGTCACCTGCCTACCTGGCAGTCCCTTATCTGTTATCAGAACCAATTGAGGGCAAACGTTCAATATTGGCTCAAATTCAATCTGCCCCTTAAAGGCTGAAGTCTTCAACCTCACACACTTAACTGTTGTCAGACATGAATGTGTGAGTCCATTGGGGCTAAAGTGATATAAAAAGGAGGAATAGGACATACAATACTGAGAACACGTTGAATAAAAAACATTGCCAATAGACTAACCTAAATAAAAAGCTGTGCCTCCAATATGAATTTGTGTCATGACTTAACGGTGGAAACAAACAGAAGTCGGGGAAAGCCATAGTCTTCTGACTGAAAACACAAATAACTCTGACAAACTTTTGACATTAAGTAGAGGTCATTTTACAAGTCAACAAGTTCCCTATGAACCATGGGAAATGGGACATGAAATGTGGAGTGGAAAGTCTTCATCAAAGCCTTTAAGCACTTTAACGCTTAATGGCAGGAAACTTAACGGAGAAAGTGCCACAAGGTCCAGGAGTCAGTGATGACGGAGATTGGTATTGGGCCATTGACCATATTCACAAGATGGCCCATTTTACTCTGAGATCAGGCCCAGGGTGGGATGCTCAAATGCTATCCTCGTTCTATGAGTGTTTTATGTCTGAAGTCCTAAATGTATGAAATTTGACACATTGTTGTGATTTTTTTGCTTCTTCATTGATTAGCGACTGATAAGAAAAAGCAATCTTGAAAATCCAGAGACATTTAGGTTAATTTTGGAAGTAAAATCAATTACATATAAAACAAAATAAAATAATTTAGCTAATGTCAGACAGCAGCTGTTTGTATACAATCATTTCCCTCTTAAAATTACCACAGGCTGTTCATTTATGCCTTTTAATGTAATGCTAATGGTAATATTAGCTAGGGAGTGGCTAGCTGTTGTCTACTGGAAGCTAATGGCTTTTCAAACATAGACAATTGTTTTAACAAAAAATCTGAACAGTTGTGATTTTCCCTCATTATTGTCTCAGTTGCTTATCTATAAGGAAATTGTGACATAATAAGGATTGTCTTATTCCTTCAATTATAAAAGTAATGCCTAAAGACACAACAGTTTGACATCATGACAGCCTGAGCACAATGTCACTGTTTGTTGTTTGAATATGGTAAAAGTCTATTTTATAGAGCCTACATTCTGTTTTGCTTTTCCCCTTGGCTCTCTAAAATTGTTGTTTATTGTTACTCTGTTTTGGATATATTAGGGACTGGTTTAATAACAACTGCTTTTGGCTACAAATTCTGCGACCTGTAGTTGCACTTAGTTGTCGGCACCAGTGTGTACATCTCTGTGTGTTGACCCTGCATGTGGGAATATAATTAGCTTTACATCAATCTCCTTTCTTTGGGGTTTTTTGCATTTGAATGCACTGTGTAAGTGTGAGTATGCACAGTATGGTTCGGGCAGCGAGGTATTTATGTTAGAAAACTGGGAGATCAATAGCATCCTGAAAGAGAGCAACCTCAGGGATACAATCTCACCGCTACGAGGGAGAGAGGGGAGGAGAACTGTTGCCTATGTTTATCAAAACAATGGATGTCGGCTGGGGATAGCAATCTATTTTTCACCATATTCTGTGAGAAAGACACAGCACAAACATTTCTGTTGTTTGAAAGTTTGCAGGGAATACACATTAAAAAACATTTATATCTATGGAGACCTGTCAATTTTGGCTGAAATAAACTATACGTTTCTGTTTTGTTTGGATATTGCACAATTGAAAGGCAGTGTAGACAGATCATAGGACACAAACAACAACTGAGCATGGACACAGTTATCATGGATATGTTTTTTATTTTTATTTTTACAAAGAGTGTATTTAAGAAAAATTAAAGATTTTTTTTTTTTTCAAAATCAGAAGAATGAAATATGATCAATCATTTACAAATGACAAAAATATTTAACTTCACTATCATCTGTATCTCTAAAATGGAAAGTTATATACAGTTTTAAGTTGTTTTTTGTTTCTTAAGAAAGGAGTGATTATAAATTGGTTGCCTTAGTCATAGCCATCTCTTCACCTGGCTGGTTCCTCTCCCAGCCTTGTCGAATGCGGGTTAGGGTCCGGTCCACACAGGGGAGGAGGACCAGAAACTTGAGCACCAACACCACAGAGGGCACAATCAGACAGAGCATGTAGCCCGGAGGAGTGTACCATTTGTAGGTTGAAGGGCGAAGGAATTTGTTCCAGCCGTAAATGTAACCGTGTGATGTGCAGATGAACAGGGTCAGGTGGCCAAGCTTAGACTGAGGAAAATAAAATGTCAATGTTAAAAAAAACACAGTGACATTTTAGAAAAAAAGGTGATCTATTGCATTGTTTGACGAGAGGATTGATACCTCTCTTGTGTCTATACGCTAATTATGTAGCTAGAGCTAGCCACCTGTTAGCTTAGTGTAAAGGACATTAGCGGAAAGCGGTACAAAGGTAACAGAATCTGCCTATATCAGCAGCTAAAAGTTAACTAGTTAACACATATCAGCATGAGATAACACAACCAGAAAAAAGTCTGTCATATACTTTAATCCCTTAACACTATATTATTGTTACATATTGGTTTGCGCATAGATCTACAAGCAAGATAAAACATGTTAGCTATTTAGCCCTTGGTGCTAGTAAGCGGATTTAATTATTTAAAGACAGAGTCAAGTTAGTTTTTTTTCTTTAGTAAGTCAGCTAAGCTAACTGGGTGCTTGTGGTATCAATCTCTTCTTCTCAGTTTCAGCAAGGTTCACTGACATGTTAAAGGCAAATGCAGATATTGCATCATTAACATCTGGCCCTCTGTAAAACTCTTTAAGTAGCTTAAGCCCCTGAAGCTAAAATACTTGATGGTTACTTTAATGGTTAATGTGGATGTAATCATATTCAGCATGTTTCTTTCAATAGATATAACAGCAATTTGGTCAAATAAATCTCATGTACAACTGACTTTAGGAATAAAACGCCTGTAAAGCTTTAAAGTGAACTTGATGTGACATTAGTGATGACATTAAAAGAAAATGTCTGGCTCTATTCTGTGACAATAAGCTCCATCAATGCACAAATTGTCTCACTGGCCTCGGAATAATTGCTTTAGTGGCACCACTGGCCTTAGAGTCTCCATTTTCTTTTTCTTTTTTTGTATACCATTCCTTTCTCTTTTTTTTTAGCATTTAGCAGATGTTCTCTTTTAAGAGGATTGAAATAAGTGCAAACAGCCCATAAAGAAAAAAAAGCTGATTTGATTTAGTACAATAACAAACTGTGCCTCCATTATGATAATTTACCAAATTAGAGAAGTGTGTCCCTCTGCTATGAGAATAAAACATTTTAAGAGAAATTTAAGTTCAATATTTTTACAACCCTGATCACCAGTGTAATAACAACAAACAAATAATAGAAATGATCATCAGTGGATATTAGTCACATTTCTTCACACCAGATCATAAGGATTGTCTTGACCCTGACCTCTATCGCTGAGTCATTCCCTATCTGAGTTCTATCTGTGGACCTGACCTTTACACAAATGGATCTGTGACCTGTATTCATAATCTTCTCCCGCAGGATCATACTAGGTATCATAACTCTCTTTAATGAATAACTTAACATTTAAAATCCTGGGCTAAAGTCAGTAGGGCTTTTCGTTCTGTGTGCCCGGTCTATGCTGTTAGTTAACTAGGCCCAAGGGAGAACAGAACCTGTGACTTATTGCTTTTTTACAACACTTTAATAACTCTGATGAAAACATGCTTACTACAAATATAGATTTTCTGAAAGGACCAATAAGATATGTTTACTGATAGTGAGCACATGACTGATAACAACAACACAGTACAGGCTTAAAGGTGAACACAAGCACACACACCAACACTGAAACTAACACACGCACTTAGAGGACCACACATTTTTCAATGGCGCTCTGACCTGAATGAAGCTGAACTCTCTCCAGCTGAGAGTTCCTCCCACAGAGGGCAGGGATGTTAGTCCTAGCAGGACATAAAGAAAGAAGCCAAGGATCCCCAGCACCAAGAACGAGTCAGTGCCCCATGCCTCAGTATTATCAAAGTCAAATGGAGTGGTTTTATTGTTCTTCATCTGAAAGACACAAAGACAGAAACACATCTGTTAAATTGGCGACTCTGTTGAAATGAAAGCTTTATGTCTTCTATGTACAGGATTTCTGGAAAACCCTGCAGGATTTGTACCTCATCCACCACCCGCGAGATGAGTTTGTGTCTGACAGCATAGCGAATAGGAATGATGAATGTATAGATGGCATGGAGAAAAGCTAAGCCCAGTGCAACCAGACCCATCTGCTTCCTGCACAGCATCCAGCGGTCCAGCCAATCAGGGAAGCGCCTGGAACATCCAAAAGTGAGCTAGTTACTTCACACTCCCAAAATGATACACCTTTTCTGAACAACAAATTGCACAGTAAGTGAACATTTCTGTCCCTGTTTGATGTCTGACCTGTACTTGGTCCCTCTGTAGAGCTGAAGGAAGGCAGCTATGACTCCAGGCAGGTAGCACAGGGACAACATGATGAGAGACACGATTGGAAACACCTGAAAGGTAGGAGGCAAACCCAGAACACATCCTTCAAAAGGAACACAAAATGTACAGTACTTCAAAAAAAAAGGGGGGGGGGGGTAGCTCCTTACCTTGTTGGCCAAGGATATCATGATTCTGAAGGAGATGTCGTTGCCCTTTTCAAGAGCCTCGTAGATGACATCTCTAATAAGCAGATAAAAGAAGAAAAAGGCGATGAGACCAAGGGCAACGCGTAGCGGCAGCCTCCACTCTTGGAATAACCGTAAGGGGAAGTCCTCCAGCTCTCTGGCTGATGACAAAGACCCTCTGTCCAGAACAGTGAGGCCCATCTTTGTGGCCATCTCTGCTACTGCTTGCTTTGCTTCTGCACTGTTCCCACACAGGTACACCTGGAGCACAGAGGGTTGGTTACCTTTTAAAATGGACTATTGTATTGTAATAGGCAGTTACAAACCTCTGGAATGGGCCTTGTAAAAGTAACATTGCATATCATCGCATAGTTCAATCCTTGGAAGAAGCAAATGCCCTGACATCTGAAATTGTTTTGCCATTCTTACTAAAGTTAGCTGTTAGCAAACACAAGCAAGACCAGCTCAGATGCCCTATTTGTGCTCTAAGCTTTGAACAAGACGCTAAATGGTGGCTCTGTAGTGTTAGCAGGCTCTAAATTAAAACAGAGTTCAACTTTGTTCAAGTACGTTCAACAAATGCTGCCCAACATTCTGCAGTGCAGTTCAAGTTGTCTGCCCATAGCTCGCAGGCGTCATACAGTTTATACAGGCTTTAATGTCAAATAATGTTGGCAAAACAAATGTAGAATTTTGATTTACATTTTACAAAGGTTTCAGCATTTATAAGAGCATATTACTAAATCTTAACCTGCAATTACGTTGACTGTGCGCCCATTATTTAAAATCCAGGTGCATCTTTTCTTCAAAAATTGCCCAGAATAACAAAAGACATATAATTCTTCATGCTGATCACCTTTTGCTTTTCAGTTTCTAATAATTATTCAGAGATTGTTGTTCGATGACTCACCGGCCCTGTTAGGAATATGTAATGCATGACTGCATCACACACACCTACAGTGTCTGTCAACAGAATTACCCCGGTTTTGTTGATCCCCACAGAGCTGTTTCAGTATTTTTGAGATGGAACTGCTGGATGTGTATGACTATGTAAGGCACATTCATACTATATACATAAGGTGCTAAATATGTAATCACATTGGAGTTCTCACCATGGCGAAGGTTATTACCACACTCACAGCTCTGCCATAACAAGATTTAGTTGTTTTGTAAAGCGAGACAAAAATAATCGTACAAAAGAAGAGAGATAAAGAGAGGTATAGAGAGGGTAAGAGAGAGAGAGAGAGAGAGAGAGAGAGAGAGTGCAGTTTGACAGGCATACAGTGGGGGCAACAGGATTGAGCAGTTTTCCCCCAGGTGTGTGTTTAAGTGGACCGGGCAGCCAGCCATGTCTCCCTACATTACTGCACCAGTAACAGCAGGGGACTGCCGACAGACTAAATCTCCATCTGAATGTAAATGTGACAGAGGCACAGCCCTACTGTGGATCTAATCAAATTGCTGACCAGGAAAGAGCACGCGCTTACAAGCATGTGCAGATATGTACTGTGGCTGCACACACACACACACTACTTATGATCTCTCACAGCTACCTGTTTTCAAAGAAAATAGAGCACTGCAGTGTGTTTGCGTGTGTGTGAGTTTTTTTATGGGGGGGGGGGTTAGTTGAAGAGGATTCGAGGCAGATTCAGGTTTAGTCTCCAGAGGTTTCAGCATGTTTGTGTTTCTCTTTGTAGCTGTGAAACGGAAGCTGCAATAAACACGGGTCTTTGTAGTTTGTAACATCATAAAGTGTGTTTGTTTGTTTGTGTGTTTATACAAGCGCTGCCCTCATTTTTTTGTCTTCATTGTTTTGAGAAGAAGGCAATATCAATCATGTGCAGCGACACAAATGAAATCGATTGCTTTTCTAAAACTTCCATGATGAAGTCTTTGTCTCCTTTTAATACAAATTCTGACAGACATTTATCCCATTGTATCGCAGTAAATGATGAAAGCAGTTTTTGTTTCCTGGTTTGAAGTCAAACATGTATCATCTGTAAAAGATGAAGTCTGTAATCTCCTCCTGTTACAGCTTTGTCTTTGTATGTTTGGTCTAGTCAAGCAGAGCCTTCAGAAGCTTCCTGGCTCTGTTTCCCTTTGATCGTGCTGACATCTTTTAACAGATTCTTTACTTCTTTACTTTACTCCTCTCTCACCTGTTTTCCTGCCAGCAGTCCGTTCTGCAGGGCCCAGGCAGACAGCGTGTTAAGGCCTTTCACCACAGCGGCTCCAGGGACCAGGCTGCAGAACACACAGCAAGGACTTTTAGTTTAACTGCTATTGTTTCTTTTATCAAAAAAGGGTCTCAAAATGGTGAGAATTGATTTTTCCTCTCAAGCTGAATAGACACACAGCATGACATCCTGCCAAGGGAGCTGAAACCCTGCAATTTCTTTTTCATTTCCAGTTGGGAGTTTTGATAGCCCATGGCATTTAGGAGCACTCACCCCCCCCCCCCCCCAAAAAAAATAAAATAAATAATGATAGTATTTGGCATTTGAAAAAAGTGGCAGCTGCTTGCTTACATGAAAGAACGATTTTTGCAGAACGTGTTGTCTTGACATATTGATATCAAGACAAAAATAATCATATTATATGCTTTTGTGCGTAAAGGAAAAATTGAGACTGAATGTGTTACCTCTGCAGGTAAGCAGCGTTGGCTTCTGGGTACACGCCTTTCTTCAGGTTGTTACTGAGATCCACCAGAACCTTCGAGCAACGACAGAGAAGAGCAGGCAAAAGAAAAAAAGCAGTCAGATCTATCCAATTAACTCTTATCTTATCTCGTTCATATTCCTGCTCAAATAAAGGAGGGATGCTAATTAATTAAGTCATTTTGATAAAGATGTGAACAGAACTGAACTCAGGGCCCCATCTTTTTTTTAGAATAACCTAGAGGAATGCTGATCATGCACACTGTCAGAGGAAACGTTTACAGACGCTGTTGTTATTACAAAAGAGCTGCAAAGTATTAACTGATAGGTTGTCTATTGTTGAATTAATTGATTATTTAACTCTATACTCTATTTTGATAATCAATTAATCAGTTTGAGTGTATAAGAAGAAAGAAAAATTCTTAGAATCCAACTTCTTAGAGGTTAATGTTCATATTCATATAATTCATATATATTTTAGTCATGACAGTATCTATGACAATAAATTGAGGTTTGGGGAGAACAACTTTTCTTTTTTTTTTTTTTTTTGAACCAAACCATTACAAGATTAATATTGAAAAAAAGTCAATCATGATAAATCTTAATTACATATATTTTTGTGGAACAGAGTTAGGTTGAGGATTCTGTTAAGTAATGTCAGAAATTACATAAGCATTAGTTCTGTTAAATTTACTCAAAACTGTCTACATGGGTTTTTTTTTACTTCACTCTTGCATCACCATTTGTACGTGTGTTTCCTTCCATTAAGTAGCCTACTTATACATACAGTGTATTATTACATCATTCTGATTTTCTCAATGGATTTCTTCTTGAGATAGGCCCTGTACGGTTTATATTTATTCGAAGTCAGCATCTAAAAAATCAGCCTTTACGTTACGGTTTAGCACAAGAACAACTCGACACAGTAGTACAACATTTGAAGAGAACAAAGTCAATATTTTAGTTACAGGAACAATCATTTTATTTAAGAGCTCAAATCAATTTTAAAAAACAGAAACAAAGTAAATTATCTGCCCAAGTTTTTCTTCCTCCTTGAAATAAAATAGATTGCTTTTATCTGTTCAAGAAGATGATTGAAAAATAATTAAACCAACAATACATTTTTATCATTTGTGATTTATACAGATCAGTTTGAATGTGTGCAAGTTTTTAAAAGAGATTATCATAATATCTTGGTATATGTTTTGTTGCTGTAAATTGCAACTTTGCATACTTTTATTGTTTTATGTGTATTGTAATTGCCCTTTAAAACTTGCCCTTGATAACCGTCTTTGTTGAAATATATGCTATAGTAAAAAGATAGTATTCGAATGTCAGAAGCTGAGAAGGATTTAGAATTATTTGGTGGATTTCCAAGTCAATGAAATATTAAAAAAATTGTTTGTAAATTAACTTTTAAAGAACCAAAACGCTCTAAAAACAAAGCAACACTTTGTCTTTTTAGGAAAACTGAATGTTATGATGAAAGCCAAAACATTGAAGTGAATGTTTAGGAAACTATTATTAAAAATGTTTAAACTTTATTGATAATAAAAACAGACTGTAAAGAACGGCAATGGTTGGCAATAGTTGTAAAGAAAAAAATGTTTTTTTAATATGAAATAAGGGGTTAAAAAATCCTGATTCATCTTTATATGCTTATTTATTTAAAAATAATGCTTTTAAAGTTACAGAATAAAGATGTCACAGCACTGAAAGTCTTTCATAGTAAATTCATTCACTTTACCAAATTTGTACGACACTATTCACACCTGCTGACCGTTTCTATAATCGTTCATACTAACGAGATTATGTGTTTTGAATAATTGTTTTTCAATTTATTTTTAAGATGTTTTCAAATGATTGAAGTCTAAGACACATTTATACGTTTACTCAATAAAGATTTTACTATTCGCTCACATTTACTTGAATACTTAGAAGTACTTTAGAAAAGACAGCACAAAAATCTTAACTGATGTGTACATAATACAGAACCTGGTCATCATTGTTCACAGTTAAAATATTTTCTGTTGATCATGATCCATACCTTGACTGACACTCTTAAGATTTGTATATGTGGAGGACTCAAAATATATTCTATTTTAGTAGTTATAATTTCTAAAAAATGTTCAGCATCCTGTGCTACTTTTATATGATTAGCTGATCCATTGTGATTTGAGTCTGATAACTTCTCCTGGTTTCAGATCCTTTTATTGTACTATTGTTAACCTTAACTCACCTTTCCATCGAGGTTAGGGGCCATAGTTTGCAGGAACCCATAGTGCTCTCTGTGAACACAGATGAAGATCAGGCTGGCTGACCTCGCTGCTGCAGCATGGCTCATCACCTGTTCAAACACACACATTCAAAACATTAAGACACATGTTTTAGTGACACACACACACACTCAATCCTTTTTTGTTCCATTTTGACAAACCCAAAAGGTTTTGTTATGTCATGTGTTGTACCTGAGCTCCCTCAGGCAGGGGGCCACAGCTGTTGGGTCTGCGGCTGCCGTACACCACCCTGTATCCAGACTGGAGCAGACGCAGGCCCAGAGAGCGCCCCAAGTCCCCCGTCCCAAAGATGCACAGCTGCTCAGGCACGGGGACAGCCGCTGCACCGAGGGCACACGTGGACATGCTCTGTGGCTTCACCTCCTCATACATGTTGCTCTCCACCGTCATTTTCACACACTGAGCCTGGACATTCACTGCTCCCTGCTATATATAGCTGAGTGGAATCTGACCGGTAGACTGCTGGCTGCTTTAATTACAGTAAGTTTGTTCTTTATGACCTTATCTGCTGATTACACACAGAAAAACATTGAGATCACATGTGCAGGCATGTGTGACTTGCATTATGCAACCTGATTACAAATTTCAAACCTTGAGTCATTGCTCCACCCAACAATCTCTGTATATTTATATCTGTTTTATCATTTTATAATTGCTTCTGTCCAAAGCAGGACTGGATTTCTGCTCTAAGGATGTATAACATTAACCTCAGATTCACATTTTGTAACATTTTATGGCTTTTCAGAAACAGGCTGCTTTGAAGGTGAAATCTAGTTCAGCCAGAATTTGACTTTAACATTTGACAGAAAGAGAGAGAAAAAAATCTTATTCTGCTGCTTTCCAGGGCTTGTCTTTTTTTTTTTTTTTTTTCCTATTTCTTCTGTTTCCACACTAGACATGGTGCCATGTGGGAGATCCTGGCCCACAGATTCATTATCATTTCAAAACCCACTGTTCCAACCAAACGACTGCAGAGAGAATTTGTGCAAATTTAGTGTTCATGTCCCCATGGCTAAAACATCTGCAAAGTTGTGACACGAACAGACTCAGCAGAGCAGAAATGAAGCTCGGCAAAAATGGAAATGCTTCGTGTGTGGCTTTTTTCTTTTGTATGAATGTTCAGTTTTTCTCACAAATGTTCAGTGGTGTGTGTGTGTGTGTGTGTGTGTGTGTGTGTGTGTGTGTGTGTGTGTGTGTGTGTGTGTGGGGTTATTTAGGTCAGGATGATCAGAGCTGTGCAAAGACTCAGCTGTGATCTGCAGGATCTGCAGCACCTGGGGAGCTGGCTCCACAGACGGAGTGACTACCTGGCTATAGAAATGACACATAGCATCACATCAACTTTAGTGACTATTTGCACAAAAATATGCTCCTTACCGTAAAAGCAGCCTCATTGAAATCACAATCCGCGCATACAGAGCCAGCAATATTTATGGCAGACAAGCAGCGCGTTACCCCAGGAGCTTTTACAGTCAAGTCCATAACTAAAGCATTAATGTCTACCTGGGGGGATATCGAAGCAAAATGAGAAATCATTTTATGCCTAACCTTTAAGGCATCCATTCACTTGTGGCACTGTTAGAATAGACCTGATAGCAGATCCACTCCGATGACTCATTTACTAGCTTTGCCTCCCGGATATCGCTCTTTTTTTCTCCTCTCTCTTTCTCCTCTCTCTTTCTCTTTCTCCCTCTCCTTTAGATCTTCCTGTTCCTACAGCATCCACTCTTCTTTTTAACCTCTTTCTATCTCACTTTTGCTTCTCTCCTATATCTCTTTTCCAATTTTCTGTATATTAAAAACTACTGAATTAATTGACTAATTTGAAGTGAAACTTTAATTGATGATGTCATCAAAGGTGCCTGTTGGACAGAGGAAATCGATCTACCCCCCATAAACACATACAGTAAGTTGTAAGTAAGTTTTATCAGGACATTTCCTGCAGGCTTACACCAACAAGGACTAGAGTCAAGGTTTCAGTCATGGTTGATATGTAACCTGTGGTTTCTGGAAATGATTCATGTGTGAACCAGAAGAATACAAGAAGAGAAACCAAAGTATCTGTTTGCATTGCATCCAAACAACTGTGGGCTGCAGGGTTCATTCTGTCACATTGTTTTAGTTCAAAAAGACAACAGAAGACAGTCAACAGTGTTTGTCTGCTGAATCATCAGTGTGTGTAAGCTTTGTCACCTACAAATCCCTTGGGTGTGAGCTTGCATTCCAATTCCGTGCAACATAAGCAAACTTTGCCCGTAGCAATGACAATTGAACAGTATGCAGATACACTGTATGTCTATCACTAAAAAAAATGGTAATTGGCTGAGTAATATGACTCATTTTGTTAAGTCGTACAATGGTGACCACACATGCAATGAGCAGGTATAGAAACATTTTAATTCATGTTTTTTTTCCATCACTAAAGTAAGGTCAATATTCATTCTCCATCTTGATCTGTTTTCAACGACACCAATTCAAGAGGGAAATATCCAGCATTTTTATATACGTTTGACAGTGTTAATCAGAAGTGTGTGTAACATAAAATATCTTAAAGGTTATGCAAAGTGTGTTTTAAGAACATTTTTGGTTAGAAACAAAACCCTCACCTCCATAACTGTTAACAAGACTGATGCAAGTGGCTTGTAAGTGTTGACCAAAAAACTGTAAAATACTGTCCAGCAAACCGCAACGATTGGTAAAAAGCTAAAATACTACCTAGATTGAACAGACACTCCAGAGACTCGTGATTAATTTCTGCTCACCCTTTTTCAAAATCACACAAAAGCATTTGAAAAATTCCTTAAAGTAACCTTTAATAGAACTTTAACTGTAATCAAATCAAATGCAAATCTAGCCAAAAACCAGCTTGTTGAAGGCGAAGTTCTCCACTGGAAGAAGCATGGCTAGAGGGGCAAGATTCAGAGGAAAATATTTACCAGGTCTTTCATATTCTACAAGCTGTCAGAAGTCAGATGGAGTGTGGTTCAACATGTTTCACACACACACACACACACACACACACACACACACACACACACACACACACACACACACACAGGTTCAAGATTCAAATCCTTAAAGGTTTCCAGAAGTCCGGAGAGGATTTGAAACCCTGTGAAAATGCTTATCCCAAAACATCTGGCGACATTTGACAGAGATGCATTCTGGGATATGTTTACATCAAACACATGCTGAACTGCCATTTCAGAAATGCCATGGTGGAGTTGCTCAGGTGAGGAACTGAACCCAATTTTAGTCACTGTTATGTTGGCACAGTCTGCAGTGCTCTACTGCAAGGAGAGTCATGCCATAGTGAACATTAAACATTCATTCTGCCAGCTTAAACGCTGAAAATGACAAATTTTCTATCAACCCTGCACTTATGCACCGCAAGCAAGAGTGAACTGAACTCCTGTAGTGATGTAGTTCATTTCCCGAGGGGAATTATTTGGGGGACTCCAGCTGTTTCCAGCTGTCAGATAGCACACAGAGTGATGTGACGCATGGTTATTAAAGACATTTTTGGTGAACAGCATACACACTACATGTAAATCCTTGCTGTTGCAATTGACACCGAATATTCTGCAGGATGGATGAGTTATACAAGATTTTTTTTTTTTTTTACATGACGGCTACTAGTATAATGCTTTAGGTATGAGGTTCACATTGAGGTTCTGACTGAGCTCAGGTTTTGAAGTTGTTTAAAAACCAGACAGAGAAAAAAAGGTAGGAAAGCACAGAGAAAGCTACTGTACAACGAGACACAAAGACAGAACAGGGAGAGAACAGCAGAAAGAGTTAGACCCAGAAAGACAGAGGGAGAGATTCAACTTAGGAAATCAGAAATCGTGCCTCAGTAGAACAAAGGCACTTGTTAAAAATCAGGGCTTCCCACAAGTATTCCCAGAAATATTCTATAAATATTCCATTACCAGCTTTCCAGACAGACACGCTTGGGATGTTGATTATGAAACACTTAGAATAGGTTTAAGGAGAAGCAGAAACAGTTTGGATGAAAGAGTAACCTATATTCTTCCAAAGTTTGTATTTGATGAATTTGTTGCTTTGGGGCTGATAAATAAATGACGAGATCATATGCCTAAGTATTTAAATTCATGTATTTATATCTATGTATTTAATATGTGTTCATATTTTCAGAATGTGAACATGCATCTCACAGTGTTATGGAACTAGTTGTGTTTGTGTGACTTTCTGTTAGTGTGTGTGTATGTGTGTGTGTGTGTGTGTGTGTGTGTGTGTGTGTGTGTGTGTGTGTGTGTGTGTGTGTGTGTGCACGTGTGTGTGTGTGTTCGCGTGTGTGTGCGTGTGTGCGTGTGTGTGTTTTCATAACGAAACTCTATATGGTCGTGAGTCTATACTTAATGTTTTCATTTATTCATGCTTTATATTTTCACATTATCACAATCTCTAGCAGGCCCACATACGGATATTGAAAACATCTCCAAACTCAGAAAGCCTCATCCTCTATCGCTGCTTTAACAGAATGAGCATTGACTGTATGTTTGAAGTTCAGAATCTTATCTGGCAAGCCAAGCGGCAGAAATCACAGGCGGGGAGGAGCTGCATGAAACTGCAGATTTAGAGATTTTCCTCTCTCGTCCGACACACATTTCTTCAGAAATGATGTGGCCTTCCTTACACCAGCCTTTTCAACTACAGAGGGGGGCAGTGGAGTTTTGAAAATACCTCTACAAAGACAATTCTTGCACGGTTGTCTCATCCTCTCCTTGGAAAACAAGCTTTGATAATCTCTCTAATCTAACTTCTTCCTCTCCCTTGCAAACCGTGTCACTCATTGTGTGATCTTAGATAGAAGTTAACCAAACAGAGTTGTTTTGGTTGCCATGCCGAGAGAGTTCAGATTGAAATCACTAATGTATCTCTGTCATTCTATATAATCATATCTTTGACAAACAGCTGTGCTCTGCAAATAGCATGCATCCATGCCACTGCTCCTCAGTGGCTGCAGGGAAATCTGTAGCCCATTATAAGACCGAAATAGGCCTAAAGAATTTTTCGCCTCATCTCCTCACCCATACCTCCAGTGAAGTGAAAGAGCTGACAAGGTAGGAAACGGCTGACACAAAAGTATAATTCTATAAGGATGAAAAGCTCATAGTCATCAGAGGTGCAATTTCCCTGCTCTGTATTTTTCCAGAAGCTAGGGTGAGAGACAAGACAAGTAGCCTGGGAAACATGCAGTTTACACACATTTCATGCACATAATAAGTGATAAGTTCTTCTTGTTTCTGTGTTTATTTTCTGACCAAATGTGTGGTTTACAGAGTACCCACCACAAGAGGGAGTGTGCCAATATGCTCATTTCTAATGCCTTCTGGGTTACAATCTCTAAATGAGGCTACTCATGTAGATCCATGATTGGTGGAAAATAATTATGAGCCAGCAGCAGGTCTGTT